GGTGTTTCCACCGCAAAAACGCTCACCCCAACCTGATTCTGACCCGACTCTAGCCCGACTCTGACCCTCGGTGGAAACGTAGTCATGGACGGGCGGGCGGGCGGGCGGGTGCCCGGATACCCGGGTATTCCGAGCACTAGATTAGATATTTGGATAGATTATATGTATAATGTCATTCGAGAGATAGCCGTTTGATGCGAGTCGAGTATTTTTGTGCAATGCGAATACTCGTATGAAGTAGGCATCCGTGCGACACGGGTACCCGCAGAATCGGTCTTCACTCGTGTGCAACAAATGACTTGCCCAGATACCCGGGTATTCCGAGCACCAATTTCCACGCCGCTGCAAAAATACATTGTCACCGCACGTTCCAGGACTCTTTCCGAAGTCACTACGCGAGCTGCAATCATAATTTTTTTACCAGGCAGCGGCGTTAATTATCGTGCGCCGAGAGTGGCTGTAATAATGTTCGAAGTATACGTATGTCCTTCGGATTATGTCACGCCAGAAAAATGTCAGGACGTCAGCTGACACTTCCGTACGACGGAGAACGCCGGAGTGCCGTTGGCTGTCCGCGGTCGAAGAATCAACAGGAGCGTAAATTCAACTTACTTTTTCCCACGGCGTGGGCTTGATAGCGGCCAGGCATCTCGCCAATTGTTGTACGGCGTTCGAGAAGAACAACCTTTCGTCCGCCATCATCCTGCAGCCGAGCGATCGCCACTCCGGACTCCGGAACTCCGGACTGGCAGAGCGGCAGCTTGGGAATAATTCGGAATTCGCTCGGATAAATGTCAGTGACGTCGTCTGCTGGAGTGCGTTCGTAAATCGTAGCGGCAGGTAGCATAAAGCCTGTGTCACATTACATATCACAGGTCGGAATTCAGCCAATCAGATGAGACCATGGAGGAAAGAAGAATGAGGGTGCTTTCACATGGAGCGTAAGTTGCGTATCGCCAATCACAGGACTAGTTCAACGGAATTATTGAAGCGGTTCTATCAGCATGATCCTGTGATTGGTGATACGCAGGTTACGCTACGCAATTTACGCTCTATGTGAAAGCACCCTGAGGGTGGCGTCCCATGGAGCGGAATACGCGGAAGCGGAATCAGCGGATCGCCAATCGCAAGATTATTCTGATAGAGCCCTTTCAAAAATTCCGTCGAAACGGTCTTGTGATTGGCGATCCGCTGATTCCGCTTCCGCGTATACCGCTCCATGGGACGTCGCCCTGAGAGCGGCCATGCCGCCGCGGAAAGTAAACCGCCGGCAGAGTAATTCTTTTTTATTTTAAACCCAGGATTGGTCGATTCGCAACAGGTGTTGCGTAGATGCTTTACGCGGTTGTATGAATGGACCTTAACAAAGTCCACTTTACTTACTTTAGAACAGAGAGATACACACACAAATTACGAGCTTATTAATAGAATATTATTGATCTTGTTTTTTTCAACAAATGACAGCACAGTACGTACAGTTCTGTAAATAATGAATCTTGCATGTACGTGATAGCACAGTGTATGTACAGTTTTAATAAATAATAAGTCATCGCGTTCACAAGGTTTCTGCCCCGGCGCTTTTCACCCACGATAAATAATACTCCAGCTTCTTCAAGCACAGGAGCATATTCTTTTTCGACAGGCTCGCGTCGTCGCTGGGCCTCTGCGAAAACCTCTTTGTGAACTCCTGCTTGCCGCTCTTGCAGGTCGAAATCTCCGTCTTCGCCGCTGTTAGCAATCGGTGGAGCTCGGAGAGTGCCGCGGACGTGTAGACGGTGTTCATATCGGCGCCCGGTCCTCGCAAAATGGAAGCGCCGGCTTCTCTCAGCGCCGCTAAAGTTTGTTCGTCTCGTGGCAACGAATCAACCTGTATATATTTAACAATAATATATTACAATCCATAATATATACGTTTATATTAACGTGCAAAGGTCACTCACGCTCTTTATATTTTCTACAACGGACTCGATTGCCGAGTCCGCGTCTTTGAAGACCTCATTGCTCCTCATGTTCCCGCAGATAGTGAAAAAGATGTGGGCAGCCTCCTCGGCACAGCTCAAGTAATCTCCAATGTAGTAAAGAGCGATGTACGCGTAAGCGTACGCCACGTTCGTCACGTTAAAGCGTACGCAGGGGGATGCTTTCTAAACGCAAATAATAAATGTTTAACTTCAAATACGAGCGAGAACACCGAATCATACTTAGGTCCGGGCAGACTGGAGGTAGCCAAGTAATTTTTAATTTGGAAAATACGGTGTATGAAAATTCACATATCAAGTTAAAAATTATTAGGCCACCTCCAGCTTGCCCAAGTATGACTTGGCGTTCTCGTTTATATTTCAAGTTGTATCTTAAGAAGGTCCTGATTTCACTTTAGCTGTTAACAAATGTTTAGAGGCACAATTTTAATTGTACACACACGTAATACTTGGAGCACAGGTCTCGATCATTACCAACCTGCAATTCGTTGAACAACGGTACATCTATCAGAGCGGGATATTTTAAATCGCCGTAAGGGTCCTTGGCGTCCTCCTCAAGGGGCTGAATCAATTTCTTTTCCACGCAACAGGTCCACCACGGCACCCACTTGGGCAGCAGCTTCTCCGCCTCTCCATTCTTTATCAGCGCCTCAAATTCTTGCCTCTCCGCCTCGGACAGGGCCGACCAGAGCTCGTTCGGATCCTCGAAGTTGACATTCTGCAATCTGGTCTCCAAGTCGAGAAGCTGAAAGACATACGTTTGTAAGAACGTGCGATTCAACAAGGCGTATAAATTTCTAACGTGTCGACGCTTGATCACCTCTTGCTCGTCGTCTGAATCCAACGGATAGTCCTCGCCGCTGGTGCTCCCCTCGTCCAGGTCATTTTCCAGGTCCGCCTCGTGCACTCTCTGAAGGATCTCCATCATTTTTTGCCTGGCAGCCGGATCGTTCTCCTGAGACTTGAGCTCGTCCTCGACGCACTGCCTGTAGAAGCTCTCGGAGCAATCCGTGTGCGCGTCCGACTTGTAACACTCGGCCCCGCAGTAGCCTGTGCCGCATCGCGGGCAGGTATACAAGCGCGCGCGCTTGTTGCACCTAATGGAAAGAAGAAACACGCACGTTTACGCAACGGCAGACGAGTGGCCACCAGAGTTGCAGTGCTCGACCCCCGCGAGAGATCCCGGCTTATCGTAACCTAGCAATTACATATTTTGCGGAATAGTCGCGTCTTACGAGTCACGTCGCGATTCAACGTTCGACGCTGCACTTACAATTCGCAGATATTAGCGGCCGAACTTGTGCCCGGTGACTCCGTCATCTCGAATCTCTTTGACACGCTGCCACTCACCGCGATAGCGCGATGTTTTGATCATCCGCAGGGGGGGGGGGAGAAGTAGCTAAGCGCGCCATATTTGACTGTCAGAGTTAAATCCAGGAAATATCCGAGCAAGTTGGAATTATGTAGAAATATAATATAAAAGAATACATGTCTATATGCTTTAATAAACGTTTTGGTATGTACACAAATCTTAATCAATTTAATTTACAGACGACATGCTGTACGTACAAAAATTCAGGAGAGTACTGTTTAGACAAATATTTGGATGCATACTATAACTCACTTGTAACTCATGCTCAACATATGTAATGATTGTCTAGGAAAGTAGAAAAGGTCATGATGACATCATAGAAACATTGAAATAAAGTCACGACGATATAATGTCATTAAGGCCCGGTCTACAATGAGTCGTTAGTCGTTAGTCAGAAGTCGCAACTATATGTTGATCCTTTTCCTTTCTGGGTAGAAGAAAAAGGACCGACATATAGTTCCGACTTCTGACTAACAACTCATTGTAGACCGGACCTAAACGATTAAGGCCTGGTTGCACCAACGTCGCTTAACTTTAGCTTAACCTTAGCTTAATTCACGCTTTGTCTCTTGCCAAGAGAAACAGTAGTTTAGAAAGAGACGAGAAGTGAATTAAGCTGAAGTTACATGACATTGGTGCAACCGGGCCTGAATCATCGAGTTCTATTTTCTACTCTCTAGTCTACCCTGTCTTCTGGCCAATTTCTGATTGTTTGACGTATTGATAATATTTGTTATGATTGCAAGTCTCTTATTCTTTTGCCTGAGAATTTCTTTCAAACTTCGGATTTCTGTACGCAGGTTTGTAATTTTATCATTCGCTATTTTCTTAATTTCGTGGCTACTTGAAGAATTCCAGATTCTTTCTGGTGACATTCTTGTTGCTCTGTCGTGCGTTTCAACGAATAATGAGGGAGGAGATGTGTTCGTTTCTTTATCACACGTCGATTCTAGAATATAAGTTATATTTTTACACACCTCTTTATACACATTTTAAATTATTGGTTAAAAGTATATAAATTGCGAAACTTACGAGCAATAGGAATTTGTCCGCTGTTACTTTCCATAACAGAAACATATTCGTCACTGGTTTCCAATACAAAATCGTATTCGGTCTCGTCTTTTATAATAGAAACTTGTTCTTCCTTAACAGAAATTTGTTGAGTATCTTCCTCAATAATCGTCTGTCCATCGTCGGGTTCATTTATTTCATCGTTTAAAAATCTAATTGGGTTTAATGCTAAAACAAATGTTTATAAAAACTAACTTGTCCAAGTTCCAAAACCAAACAACTGTTCTAATATGCAATAAATTATTTAATTTTATATTTTACTGTGTTAATATATTGTCAACGACAATGTCGGTCATATTGATGTCTATTATTTACCTCTTTTTAACACTAAATCCGGGACGATTCTGCAGTTGATATTTTCGCTAGAGTTTGAAGATAAACTCTCTTCTTCATTGCTGATACTTGTATCCATTACTTCAAAATACGGTATACTTTCAAACACCTATAATTATACAATACTTCTGAAAAGGTTTTCCTTTTTATTTTTTTATAAACGTCATACTTTTCTACGTATATTCCATATACACTTTATGCAATTGGAATTGCAAAAATGAATTCAGTTATACATATAATACATTTTTTCTATTCGTTATCATCTAAATACATTTATCTCATTACTGTACATATATAAAACATATGTAATTAAATTCTCGCATATTTCGTCAAATTGTAAGATGTAAATTACTCACGTGGGGGACGGCATTTTCTCTCAATATTATATGGTCCGAGTACGTTCGATCTATAAATTTTTCTTTAAAATGTAAAGAACAGAGAACGCTTGATTTGCTGATATTTTTGCCGTCCAATTTTAATATTTCTATCCATTGCGCTCTTTTCGCAGAGTCACAAGGAAATCTGCAAAGAGATTATTTTACAAGATATACAAGTGTATAAATTGTACTAAAAGACAAACCGACGCAAGAACAATCAAGTGTGTAGCCAATATTACTCGGAGGGTCGATTCTGTATTTTACAACGTAGTGAAAATGCTGAAAGTGAGTAGCTTCGTCTCTTTCTAATTTAGAAAGAGACAAAGCCGCTCACTTTTAGCATTTTCGCTATATTGTAAAATACAGAATTGACCCTCCGACGCCAAAGGTTATACTTGCCTGTGAAATGATATCTTCATCGTCTCTTCGAAAGCAATTTGCGCCGCCGTTTTTCTCGCATCGCAGTTTGTATTTTTACAATTAGGTACGATGCACGACGATCCATCCATTCTTCTTCCTTATACTTCCTACTTTTACCTCTTACGCCCAGGCTCACTTAATTTATTGCAAGACGATCCTTCGGAAACCCTAACGTCCGAAAAAGCACATCGCTGTAATCTCTCGACTGCTCAGTCTTGTTGCTCGAAGTCTCTCGCGACGGAAACAATTTCACCTACCTTTAGATTACCGTGACACGGACGGAAATGCGATAACGAATAGATTTTTAGGACTTAACCTCTTCCAATGTTTACAAGGCGCCCCGCTGCCGCGTGGCGCTCTACATTACCGACCGGCGACTGGATACGCGGACACGCGGTTCCTCGGTACGTCGTAAGATGTCGCCCCATGTACCGTTTCGCGCTCTACTTCCATTCGCAGCCCGAATTCCACCGGGCCCCTTCGTCACCACCTCTCTTCTTCGGGACTCGGGACGTCTAATTATACGTCTCGCATCGAGGAAGCGTAACGCGGCTGCGGGGGAAGGGGGGCGGACCTCTCGATACATTCGATACGTTCGGGCGCTATTCTTAGAATGTAGATAGAGAAAACGGCGGATTCGAGCGAGTCGCTTTATCGCGCACTTCGGACCACGGCGGCGGCCGGCTATCGCGCGAGAGAGAGAGAGAGAGAGAGAGAGAGAGAGAGAGAGAGAGAGAGAGAGAGAGAGAGAGAGAGGGAGAATCTTAATCATGTGCAATATGCATGCTGCGAGGGCGATCGACTCGCGTCCCGCAATAACGGGTGCATTATACTCCCGCGCGGTTTCTTGCCATTTTTCCACCCCTTTCGCCCGTTATCGCGCGGCACAAAGGCACGCGACGTGCACGCGATAACGCGGCGCGAAGCGGCGTCGCGCTGCCGCATCGCGCGGTTATCGCAGCTCGGCTCGGCTTGCAAGCGGCGGGCCGCTCTCTCTCTCTCTCTCCCTACCGGCCGCCCGTGCGCCGCGCGGATTGGTGCACGAGCGAGCGAGCCGCGACAAAAACAATGAGCGGGGTACCCCCAGGTATCAGGCGGCGACGCGGCGAGCGAGTGCGTCATTGCGAGAGCGTCGAGCGAGCGAGCGTGCGGTGCTGCGTCTTGCTGAGTGATCTCGAGGATTCTCGGAGCCGAACCAAGTCCCGCTGAATCATATACGTCCCTCCTCCCGCTCCGCGACGTTCGAGTATACCTTGCATCCTCGCGGGGAGGCCCTTATCGCCCACCCCTTGCGCCGTGCGTCGACGGTGTCAAAGACCTTACCTGGATTCCCCGACTCTCCCAGCCCCTTCGACCTGTGCCCTGCCCTCCCGTCCCGTCCCGTTAATTGCGACGGCTCGGGCTCTCGCGACGAAACGCATATTATCTTATCCGGTGTCGCGCCTCGTGACGTAGCTCGCCTCCGGGTATAATTACTCGCCGGTAATAATTAGCCGCTAGGTGTGTGCGCGCCACATCGTGAAATCGTCGACTCGCCTCTCTCTTTCTGAAGCGGCGAGCCTGCCGTTTCACCGTGTCCATCGTCCGACGAGGAGACTTCGACATGGGTGTCGAGGACAAGGTACTTATCGTGGGTAAAAAAATGCTGACGCGACGCAAGAACGCGGAAAACTGTAAACCCGCTTTTTTCCTTCACGAACGCTACAAAGTTGCGTCGAGCGGCCTCACCGCTGAATTAATATACATTATACATAGTATTAAGATAAATATCAATTTTTTTTCTCTTCAACCAAAGAGTGCGATCGTTTTTTGGCTAATATCTAATAGTGGCCAAACGAACGATGCGAGACTGCTAACAGTTGGGTGAACAGATTACCTGAAAAAGGACCGGAACGTCGTTTGTTTTTTTTTTTTAATAAAAACATTGGCCGGTGTAGGTCGTTTTTAAAAGCTACATATCGTTGATTCCTTTTTTATCGGACGAAAGTGGAAGACGTTGGACCGCAAAATGTACGTCGCGCCGTACTTACGGAAGATTGTAAGAGATTGTAGCCCTAAGGGGAACAATAAAGCCAATTCTAATTCTACAAGTCGCGCCGTACAAAAGGGCCGCGGCACATTGTTGGCGAGTGGAATAGATGCGCACTGAATCCGGCGAAAATGGAGGGGGGGCCAAGTCTCCGGTTACTCCCCTTGTTTCATGCCCGATTTCTTCACATCCAGTTATGTTGCGGTTAAAGTTAACCAGGAGACAAACTACCAGGTCTATGCACGTGATTGGCTAAAACTTGAGATTATAACCTCCGGATAATTTTATCGGGAAGTGAAAAAATCGGCCATTACACTGAGAAAAATGTCCGATTAAATATAATCGGATAATCCAATTACATGATAACAAACGGATATATCCGATTAAATTGTATATCCGATGAAAAATTTGATCGGTTTTTCAATGAAATTTCATCGGTAATTGCATTTCATCGGATAAATTTCATCGGATATATCCATAATTTAATCGGAAAACGTAATCGGAAAAATTAACCATCGGACATACTATTTAATTGGTTTATCCGATGAAAATTTTTCTCAGTGTAGTGTTACCATTTTTCTCTTCGCTTATCTGCACCGCACTCCCGAAGTCGTTTCCATCGCACGATACGGAGTTCCACCTGTCGCGGGCTCTCACGTAACGCTGCGCCCAAATGGGGACTTAATCGCATGCGTTTTAATCGCTTCCCGGAAAAAAAAACGTGCTGTTCCACCGACCTTGACGCGCCTCTCTTCTCCGTTGCATTTTTTCTCCCCCCTCGTTGCGCTCCGATTTTCCCCGTGGCACGAGCTGAAACACGCACGTTTGGTACCTGACGCACGTTTTTCCAGACCCCTCGCCCCGCCTCACCTTTATTCCGCTCGATTTCCCCGGAGCTAGGAGATAAAGAGTACGTGTTTATGCGTCGGAACCGGCGCTATTTTTCGACCCTTTAAGACGCCGACGCTCTTCTTCCCGCCGCGCTTCCCTTCCGCTCGAGTTGCCCGAGGCTGAAAAGAAACGGCGTTTATTAATAAAATTGTGCTTAATCGCCGGAATCGCAATGCTGTTTCCCTCATCCTTCCGTCGCGCGCTTTCTCCGTCCTCCTTCCTCCTCTCCCCCTTTTTCCGCGTCTCCTTTCGCGATGACGTCGGCATATCTAGTTTCATAGGTGCAAAGGAATGTGCACGGGCAGAAACTACTCGCGCGCGCGCGCCAATTCTCGTTTCTCCGGGCTCGCGATTCGCGGATTCCACCCCTTCGCGGAGACGCAGCGGAAACACATGTTTCTGACGAAACGTATAAGGATTTGTTTGCACACGCGCGACACCGTGTCACGCGGATCGGGGACACATAAATTTCGCGAAATGCCGCCGCTTATCAATTTTCGCTTATCTGTCGCCCGATAGTCACAATATACCCTCTGAAACTCTCGGCGGAATGCGTAGTGGTTTTTATCCTCGGCAACACGCGCGCCGAGATAGACGTCGAAGGTCACGAAAGAGCCTGCGGGGCTTCGCGGCCATTCATAAGACCTTGCAAGTTCTCGCGAATATACGCGCGGAGCCGCAACTATTTATTTATCTCGGGGTGACGGATTAATGTTGCGCAGTATATTTGCATGTTATCGTTCGGTACGCCGAATCGAAGCTGCATGTTGACGTCTACGGTCACATGCACTTTAATCCTCTCGCCGTCCAAATCTAAAACAGTTACGTAGATGTTTTAAGGTCTTGTCTACGATGCCTAGAACTTGGTCCAAGTTCTAGTTCCGAGAAACTCTACAAGAAAGCCACTCGACAGAAGCTGCAAGTTGATCGACACTACACATTTCTCGAAACTAGAACCTGGACCAAGTTCTAGCATTTTGTGAACGCAGACCTTCGGAACCGGATTCTTTTCGCTCGTGAACAACAGTTACGCAAGCGGGATGCGTCGATGAAATCACTGAGATTAAAAAAGTACAGACCTCGAGAGAGACATTGAAAGCGTAAAAATGCAAGGAGGCGTCGAGTATGTTTTCGATCGTGATAGACGATAGATCTCTTCGATCTTGTCTCCGCGCAACAACGTGCTCGTATTCCCTACCCCGAATCGATCGGATCGGGAGCCACTTGAGACGTAAAAAATACAGATGAAGATATTCGTAGTGTAGATAAGACAACGGTTTCGCCGGATCGAGACACCCGGTATACTCAGGTGCTGCGACTGCAGAAGAAGAGGAAAGAGAAAAATTGTGAAATGTCGCGTGGCCGCATAACGCGTCGTCAGCTATGCAGACAAGCTCGGGAACATCAACGGCTCACTTTGACGCTCCACGTGGCGTGCCACGTGATCCGGAATTTACGCGCTCGGGTGATGTTTTTCGAGTCTCGACGGTTAGATCCTCGTTTCTTATCGATTGCGCAATCCCTTTTTTTTTTTCACAAGCGAAAGGAATTCGGAGCGTCGCTCGCGCCTTCCACAGTCTACCCAGCGAGAAATGACTCGTCGATCGACGTCGGATCAACATCGAATCGACGTCAATTTGACGTCGGTGTCGATATCGATTCGACGTCGATCGACGAATCATTTTACTGGGTCTTGCTCTCTTTTCATTCAAAAGCCCGAGAGTACGAGGACCGCGTATTCTACGCCATAAACAGCACATTGTTACGAAAAAATGTTTGTCACGTTGGAATCGAAAACGGGGTCAAGAAGTGCTCAATATTGTATAAATAGAGATTATCGTTACATCGAGCCTATCGCTTACACTCTATTCATTTCCTACACTGAGAAAAATGTCCGATTAAATATAATCGGATAATCCAATTACATGATAACAAACGGATATGTCCGATTAAATTGTATATCCGATGAAAAATTTGATCGGTTTTTCAATCAAATTTCATCGGTAATTGCATTTCATCGGATATATCCATAATTTAATCGGAAAACGTAATCGGAAAAATTAACCATCGGACTATTTAATTGGTTTATCCGATGAAAATTTTTCTCAGTGTAATAGTACAAAAAGACAATTTGTTCTTATCATTTCTTAGCTTGTTTTTCGGGTACAAAAACAATTCTCTTTATACTTTATCAAGTTTCGTCGGGAAAGAATTCTTTCTGGATTCGTAACAATCGCCTGTGCCACTTGGGTTCTTCGGGGAGATTCTTCGGAGAAACGTAAAGAAACCGAGATCACTCGCCCTAGCAGTCTAGGGTGAGTCTGGGCAACTTTGTAGAAGCGCTTTAGTTCCACGAAACTAACTTCTAAATGAGAAAAAATGCAACCAATCTCTCTCGTCCGCCGCGAACGTTCATATTTTAAATAACGAATTGTATAAATAAAGTTCCCTTCGTGGCAAACTCGTAATCAGTCTTGGATACGTTCTCGGCTGAAGAATTTTATCAAAGATTCCAGCAACTTGGTTCACAATTTCAACCGAGTATGTCTTATCTGACAATGAGAAAAATTTCCATCTGATAAACCAACTAAATAGTGTTTCAGATGGTTAATTTTTCCGATTAAATTATGGATACATCCGATGAAATGCAGTTACCGATGAACTTTGATCGAAAAAAACCGACCATATTTTTCATCGGATATACGATTTAATATATTGGATATATCCGTTTGTCATTATTTAATTA